TACCTGGTGCGCTGAAGATACCGCTACGGCGAGAGAGAGAGAGAGGGAGAGAGATGAGCGATCCAAGATTGGTTGTCACTTACCTGTAAGGCGAGTTGCGGAGTCCGGTGGAGAAGGAAGACAGCGGCCATAGCCGCGGAGCACCAGAGGAGAGAGAAAGGGAGGACAAGGGACTAAGGAGAGAGAAGAAGAAGTGTGAAAGGAGGAGGTTGAAGAAGAAGACAGACATAGCCAGGGGTGAACAAAAAAAAAAAAAAGATAGAGAAGAAGAAAGAAAGTGAAGGAAGGGGAACTTGGGAAGTAGACGACGAGGGCGACGAGGGTGAAGGTGCCGGCAGCCATAGCCGAGGTGAAGGGTTGAGCGGGCGTTGACCAGAGCATTGACCAGAGGGTTGACCAAGGGTTGACCAGGCGTTGACCGAGATTGTTGACCAAGGGTTGACCAGGCGTTGACCGAGGGTGTTGACCAAGGCGTTGACCGGAGCTGCTGCCCAAGATTTTGACCAAGCTGGAGCTGGTGATATCTCGCTGAGCCCTTAGCCTATCCCCTTACCCTGTGGATGTGCACTCACCCTACGACACTTGCTGAGTTTGAGTTTGTCTGTCTTTCCTTTCTGCATTGAGTCTCTTCTGTATTAGGTGATAGGACTCTGTGGATGAAGGATAGGGTCTTGCTGCCAAACCTGCACGGGACTTAGTATGACTAATCTCTACTCTGGCATCTGGAGACCTGGGCATGAGCGGCGAGCGCTCGTTAAACAACTCGTCTAGCCCAATGACCGGTACTGTCCGGCAGGTCTACTGAGTTCAGTGTAGAGGGTCTGAACTCCGAGCTGCAGGCTGAAACGAAGGCCATCTTTAAGTGTTGAGGCCTGGTTGAACCACTCCCCTACCGGACCTAGTAAGGCTGATGATCGGTGTCTGACGACTCGACTGTCCCGAGGGATACGAACCCCTCCAAGGACCGGTACAGATCGGCGGGCTGCTCGGTGTGGCACCGTAGGCCAGAACGGCTGAGTTGTGGGCTGAAATCGTCAGGAAGAACCAAGCTGACCACGTCGTCTTGTCTGCGACGTTAAAGAATTCTTGAGGAGTTTGGGGGATCTCCTTAAATGCCTCCACGTCAGCTTTTGGTTCAGTAGTGACAGCCTTAGAGTAGTCTTGGGTTAGTGACCATAGTAACAGGGTCCTTAGGAAGTCAGTTAGTGGGTTAGTGTCCGGGTAGGTCTAAGTGGTGAGGAGTGGGACTTTGGTCGTGCACCTGACGCCACGATGGACGACTATCCGATGTATGGGTTGCTTGTTGGGTTCTCCCTCTAGGGGACCCTCTGGCGTCTCCTCTTTCCTCTGGGTTTCTGGCCCACTTTCACGTGTAGAGCAGGGCCCACTCGTGGTGGTACTTCCACCAACCCTTACACGAAGGAGGAGGAGGAGAAGATGGTCACCATTATGCAGGAGAGGAAGGAGAAGAAAGAGGCCAAGAGGAAAGCCTTGAAGGAGGAGCACGCGGCCAAATTGAAGAAGATAGAAGAAGAGATGGCTAGAAAGAAGGAGAGGATACAGAAAGAGGAGGAAACAAAGTTGAAGGAGGTGGAAGAAGAAGAGGAGGAAGATGATCAGCCACTGGAGAGGAGAAGAGAACAGCGAGGGCAGTACAGTGGCAGCAAAGATGATGAGATGGAGAAGCGAATCTCAGAGTGGGTCGCCAACTTGTCCCTGGGAGAAGAAGAAGAGGTAGCCATGTATATCCCCAAGGACGAGCAAGAAGCCGCTATGAAGGACTGAGAAGCAGAAAGGGATGTTGTGAGGCGGCATGCAATGGAGGATGAAAAAAGGATGGAGTGGAAGTTGAGAGTAATGAGGGAAAGAAGAGGAAAGTGGATGCGGCGATTGACGCGGTCAAAGACCTAGGGGAGATGCAGCAACTAACCCTGAGGTTGACCCCTCAGGTAGACCTTGAGAAAAAGGTAGAACTCATTGCCCAGACTGTCGAGCGCTTAGCCCGGATACAAGAACAATAGTACGATTTTAGTCGAAGTCAGGACATGGCTGTGCGCTCCATACGAATGGGGTTTCGTGACTTTGCTCGCGAATTGGTAGGCGCGATAGGATCCGAGGTGAATCATCACCTCGAGAAGACTGAACGATTTTGCGCTGGCGCCATTGAGGGCATCAAGGCGGCAGCTCCCAAGGAAGAGGAACCACGCCCGCCGTGTAGAGAGCCAGTCAAGGTCAAATTCCCTGATTCCTACAGTGGGAAGAGGGAAGAGAACTTTTTTAACTGGAAGGCCAACGTTAAGACCTACGTGCATCTGCAACAGGTCTCCCCGGATCAGCAAGTCCTAATTGCGATCCACGCACTTAGAGATGAGGCCGCCAGCTTCGCTAGATCCCTTGTTCACGCTGCCAACTGCAGTGACGATCCAGTTGCCTATTCGACATTCGCTTCCCTCACTGAGTTCATGAGATTGCTGCGCGAGCGATTTGCAGATGTCGCTCAAAGTGTCAAGGCCTCAGATAGGCTCCAGACAATCCACGCTCGTAAGTGGAAGAGTGCCAGAGCACTCAAGAGCACGATGGATGAATTAATCGTTGTTCCTGACCATGGGGTCACAGACACCCAATTGGTCGGCCTCTTCTACCGGGCTATCCCCGAAGCCTTGCGAGGGCACTTCTTCGCGAAGAGCGAAAATCCGGCCACTACATATGATTCTCTTAGTCATGAAGTGGTGGCCTTTGAAGCCAAGTCAGCATCTGTGTCTACCTTCTGGCACAAAGACTTGGACAAGGGGAAGCAATGGAAGGGCCGCACTATCTCTGGGCAAGTGAAGACTAAGGATAGCCTTGTCCTAACTCTAGACGAGGGTAGTGTGGATGAGATCCCTTACGATCAGATTGAGTGGGGGTTAGAGGAGGATGACAGCGGTGTGGGCCAGGGGAGGCTGGGGGGAGGCCGCAAGGAGGACGAGGCCAGGGCGAAGGGGGCCGGGCCTCAGGGAGCCGGTTTCAGGGCGATCAGGGGGTTGGCGGTAAAGGAGGAAACCGCCAAGCGGGAGGCCGGGGTCAAGGTCCCCCGCAAAACCGTCCTTGGAATAGGTCTCCCTATAGGGTAGGAGGATGGCACCCAGGGCTACCGCAGGGTAGGCCTTGGGAATCTTTGGGTCTGGACCAGAGCTTATGGCAACAACGATTGGACCGGGGCCAGTGCATTTTCTGCGGTGACCCGGGCCATATCATCAAATATTGTCCTAAGTATMGMGAGACCCGAACGGCTGCCCAAGGGCCAAAAGGCAGCCGCCGGTAGGGGTAGCAACTGCCCCTGCCACTAGGCCATGTGGGGAATATAGCGCTAGACGGCAGGAGTCTCCCACACCACATGTGCCTATGGCAGAGGTTGCAGGCCGGTGTCTAGATATCTGCCTAGAGACCGCTTGTGTTAGAGTCTCTCTAGACACCTCCCTCACAGGCGTGGCCGAAGAGTTGAAGGAGAGGAGGCCCGCCTGGGCCAAGATGAAGAAGGAGAAAAAAGGGCAGCTGATTTTATTAGATACAGAGATCTTTAGAAGTAGAGTAGGGGCCCTAGTAGACTCAGGGGCCACCCGCAGCTATATTAGTAGGAAAGCACTGCAGAAGTTGAGGTTGGGACTTAAAGTCCAGAAACTGACAGACCCCATAGTTAGTATCCTCGCGGACAATCGTACGATGGTTGTAGAGGATTACGTAGAGGGAGTCCAGGCATATTTCCGCCTAGAGAAAGATGGGAAGGTGGAGAAGGTCCTCCACTCCCTGACTCTCCTCGTAGAGAGGATAGCCTCCCGTTTGATATTGTCCTGGGAATGGATTGGGGAGAGGCAGCCGGGGCCACGCTCCATCTGAAAGAGCACGAGTGTAGGCTCCCTAGTTTGTCAGGCGAGGCTAAGACTGCCCGCCTGTTCCATGTGTCCGAGGTAGAGAATTCCTTGGCGCATTGCTGCCTTAGTGCCCCTGCGTTCGCCAGATTGGTGAAGAAGGGGAAATTAGAGGAACAGGTCTTTGTTGCCTATGTTAGGTCAGTCTTTGAGCCTACAGAACAAAGGTCGATGGACCCTGCGATTGCCAAGCTGCTGGAAGAGTTCAAGGATCTAACCGAGCCGCAGGTAGGAGTGGTACCGCGACCCATCCAGCATCGCATTGAGATAGAGCCCGACAGTAAAACTCCTAAGGGCGTTGTGTATAGGATGTCCCCACGGGAGTTAGAGGAGCTTCACAAACAATCAGACGAGCTCCTCGAGAAGGGTTGGATTAGGCCCAGTTCATCTCCGTTCGGAGCGCCTGTTCTCTTTGTCCCTAAGAAAGAGGGAGAGCTGAGGATGTGCATAGACTATAGGGGTCTGAATGCCATTACAGTGAAGAATGTTGAGCCACTGCCTAGGATAGACGATCTCTTAGATCGAGTGCAGGGGGCGAAGTATTTCTCTAAGATAAATTTGAAGTCCGGATATCATCAGATAGAGGTGCATCCTGATGATCAGTACAAGACAGCCTTCCGGACTAGATATGGGCACTACGAGTTCATAGTGATGCCCTTTGGACTAACCAATGCGCCAGCTACGTTCCAGCGTTGTATGAACGATTTGTTTAGGCCGTGGTTAGACAGATTTGTTGTAGTTTATCTAGATGACATTTTAGTATTTAGTAGGACCCTCGAAGAGCACCAGGGTCATCTCAGGCAGGTCTTGGAGAAGCTGAGGGAAGCTAACTTCAAGATCAATGCAAAGAAGTGCGATTGGGCGAAAACCCAAGTTTTGTACTTAGGCCACGTCTTAGACGGAGACGGCGTTAAGCCAGAAGATAGCAAGATCGCAGCGATTAGAGATTGGCCCACACCTCGTACGCTGACAGAGGTGCGTTCGTTCCTGGGCTTAGCTAATTACTATAGGAAGTTCGTGAGGAACTTCTCCACCATCGCTGCGCCCCTTCGCAGACTGTTGAGAAAGGAGACCATCTGGAAGTGGGACAAGGACTGTACGTCTGCCATGAAGAAAGTGAAGCAGGCCTTGATAAAGTATCCAGTCCTTAAAGTCGCCGATCCATCCTTGCCTTTTGTCGTCACGACCGATGCTAGTCAATACGGCATAGGTGCAGTGTTACAGCAAGACGATGGCAATGGGTATAGACCCGTAGAGTTCATGTCCGCCAGGATGCCTTCAGAGACGGTCGCGACATCGACCTATGAGAGGGAACTCTACGCTCTCAGGCGAGCCTTAGACCACTGGAAGCACTACTTGCTTGGGAGACACTTCAAAGTCTATTCTGACCATGAAATGTTACGATGGTTGAAGACGCAGGTCAAGATGACACCTAAGCTTACTAGGTGGGCCGCCGAGATAGATCAGTACGACTTCGAGCTCAAGCCTGTCAAAGGGAAGTACAATGTAGTCGCGGATGCTCTGAGTAGGAGGGCAGATTACTTTGGGGCAATAGTGCACTACCTCGATATAGGGAAGGATCTGCAGCAGAAGGTTAGGGAAGCCTACGCGCAGGACCCTATCTATAGTGAGTTCCTTAAGGAGGTCAAGGAGGCCCCAGAGACTGAACCGAACTACCGCACTACTGAAGGGTTGCTTTTTGAGAAGACTAATGTATTTGACCACCTGTGCATCCCCAATAGCGAAGAGATTCGTAGCCTGATTTTGGGAGAATGCCATAACACGGAGGGTCATTTTGGTTGGCAGAAGACTTTAGCCAACCTGATGCGCGCATACACCTGACCAGGGATGAAGAATGATTGCGTAGAGTATGTTCGCAGTTGTAAGGTTTGTCAGCGTAATAAGAGTCGCACACGAGTGCCGTTAGGTCTTCTCAGGCCCTTACCGATTCCAGACCAGCCAGGAGACTCGGTGTCCATAGACTTCATGGACACTCACGTCAAAAGCAGGCATGACAAGAGCCAAGTCATGGTCATAGTTGACCGCTTTAGCAAGTACGCAGTTTTTGTTCCTTTGCCTTCAGAGGCACGTACTAATTAAGTCATACAAAGATTCTTTGACTGTTGGGTAAGCGATAATGGAGTCCCACTGTCTATAGTTAGCGATAGAGATAGTCGCTTTACTAGCCAAAACTGGCAAGAACTCATGGGAGTATACGGATCTAAGTTGTTGATGTCGTCCGGCCGTCATCCAGAGACTAACGGTCAGACAGAACAAATGAACAAGATCCTACAGCAAGTTTTGCGCATGTACATTAGGCCAGATCAGATTAACTGGGATGAGATGCTGCCTAAAGTAGCTAGTGCGTACAACAACAGCGTGCATCTAGCCACCTGCCACACTCCCAACGAACTGCACAAGTCCTTTAGACTGCGCAGACCGTTTGAGGGACTCAATCGGGATCAGATTCACAGATTGCCGCCCGGGACCAGGGAGTTTGCTATACAGCACGAGAAAGAACTAGCTACTGTCGTAGAGAACCTTAGGAAAACCCAGCATAGGATGATAGAGCAGGCGAACAAACATCGCCGCTCTTCACAGTTTCAAGTAGGCGACTTAGTCTGGGTCAGTTCTAAAGAGTTTGCGCCTGAGGAGAACATCTCGCAAAAGTTACTGCCCACATATAGAGGACCGTGGCCTGTTCTGGAAGTCAAGGGCGGCGAAGATGGACCATCCTATATGATAGAACTCCTAGCACACCTCCATACTTACCCAGTTTTCCATGCATCGAAGTTGTTACCTTGTCAAACAAGTGATCGGTTTCCATCCCATAGATCTATGATTCCGCCCGATATGGATGGAAGGTATGACATCGATGGCATAGTTGCTGAAGATGTATTCAGAACTGGAGGTAGGGGTCGTCCACAAAAATAGTACAAGGTTCATTTTAGTTATCAGGAACCGGAAGACGACCGCTGGTTTACAAGGTCTGAACTTCTAGAGACAGCTCCCGATATAGTCCGGGCCTACGAGAGACAGCAGAAGGGTAAAGGTCCTGCCTTGGACTGAAATTTTCTCGGAGGACCTCGAATTTAGGCCGGCGGGAGTGAAACGGTATTCACCAGTTGCAGTAGCGAATGCAGATCCCAGGGCTCGATCCCTAGTTCCCCGTCTTACCCGTGTACAGTATCAGTGTTAACCTGTAGACTTGAACCCGCGACCTGTAGGAACGCCAGTGGTAGGTAGATTGTCGTAGGTCCTAGGGTAGAAGGGAATCGAACTGTAGACCTGTAGAGTAGGAGTCTAGATGGTTCCAAAGTCGTAGTTGTAGGATGCCTGAAGGGTCAAGGTCGTAGCTGCTACTTACCTGAAAGGGCAAAGTCGTAGTTGTAGGATGCCTGAAGGGTCAAGGTCGTAGCTGCTACTTACCTGAAAGGGCAAAGTCGTAGCTGCTACAGTACCGAAAGGCCAAGTTAGAGACTTCTAGAAGTGGCCTTTCRGAGTTAGCCTGCGTTCAACAGAGGCAAGTGGTCAAGTGGTGGTAGGCCACCTCGCTGAGTCAACAGTCCCAGTTAGTCAGTCCGGTCCTGTCCAGCAAGTACCGT